TCATTCTCGCTCCCTGGCACTCTTTTTTTTAAAAAAAAAAAGAAAATTTTTTTTTGATGTAATTATTTCTCTTTTCCTTGAAGAACTCGTCCGAAAACCTTTTTTCTTTAATCAAGATTTACTATCTTACTAAAGTCCTTCTCATTAGTTGGACCCAAAAAAAAAAAAATCCTTCTCATTAGAACATTAAAATTTTATTGCATAAAAATGAATTGCGTACTCGCTCCCTCCCTCCCTCCCTCCACACATGTTATTCATAATCAACATAACAATATCATGTTATTATATTTTGGGAAAATCACACACAGGTCTTATAGAAGACAATTAATTCTGCAAAAGTCCCTCAAAATTCCTAAATGCTTCCTAAGTCCCAAGGGATTTCAGAGCAAAAATTAAAATTGTGAAATTACCTACTTGCCCTCATGATGGAAAAGGTTGTGATTGGTTGCTGTGTAGGTTGTGATTGTATGCTTAGCATCTTGTCATTCGGTTGAGTGTGGGTTGTGATTGGCTGCTTTGCATGTTGTGAATGGCTTAAATGTAGGTTGTTATTGGCTGCTGTGTAGGTTGTGATTGTAGCTGTGCATGTTGTTATTCGGTGAAGGCAAGTAGGTAATTCCACAAGTTAAATTTTTTGCTCTAAGGTCCCTGGGGACTTAGGAAGCATTTGGGGATTTTTAAGGACCTTTTCAAACTTAATTGTCTTCTATGGGATCTGCATGTAATTTTTCCTTATATTTTCTATTTCAGTATGCTCAAATAGATGATACTCCTCTGGTTCTTAATATATGGCCTAATTATTGAGTTAATTTTAGTCTTAAATATAAGACCTATTTCTCATATTTATAAATTTTTTCTAAATTATCCTTGTGAATTTTCCTCAACCATAATCAAGTAGAAGAGAGAGAGAGGATATTAAGGAAGATGATTATGATGTTTTATGAAAAACATATCATATTCCTTATAATTAACTAACTTACCTAACTTCCTTAATCTAATCAAATTAATTAAATAAATCTTATATTAAGAATCAGAGGAGTACTACCAAAATAAGATTTACCAAAAGGTAAGTAACTAGCTAGATTCCTCCGATCCTAAATATAAACCTAATTTTATAGTGTAAATTATACTATAAAATGGTTCTTATATTTTGAACTAAAGAAAATAATAAATTAAAATTTATTTAATAAATACTATTTCTGATTTTTTTGGAAAATATTTCTAACTATTTTTAATGAATTAGATTAAGGGGACATTTTTTTGGTGGAAGAAAATTCATGATATTAACTCTTAACTAGTAACTATAAATATAAATGTGATGAGGAAAGGACTCTCTCTCTCTCTCTCTCACCTTAAAAAGATCTGACATGGGGACCAGACACAGTTATTTCAACTCATGAACGTTCAAATGAAGATCACAGGAGGCTTATAGATTAAGTCATACGTTACACAAAATTAGACGGAAAAGAAAAGAAAAGGTCAAAATATTATAGTTTGAAAAGGTTTCAAATAAATATATCACAATATGAGGATCCGATACAGGTGCTGAAAGTGACATTAGCAAGTCCATGTTTACTCTGTTACCCTGAAAAAGACAATAATAGTGGGGTGACAACTAACATCTATCACTTAATTAATTAATTATAACAAATATGATTTGATTTTCTTAAAATACTCATATGTAATATTAAATTATATGTTAATGTATAAGTTAAATAAATTGATTTAAAAAATTGATAAATATTTTTTTGATTGTTTTTCTGATTTTTACATTTTTATATTTTTTTAATCCTCTATCTTATGAATCTTCATATTTTGTTATTTTCATACCTCATTTATTCATTTTATCTAAATGTGGGAGAGTGGGATGGGAGAGAGAAAAGGGGAAAAAATAAAAAGTAAAAGACAGGACAGGAAAAAAAGAGGAAGGAATGGGAAAGTCGTTCACCAAGTGAATGATTTTAGCTTTTCAACTTAACATAAAAAGTTAATATTAAGTTAAAATCTAAGAACAACTTCTTCACAAATTTAGAATTGTTTTTTTGCATGAACGATTTCAAGTGTAACATTTTAATGAATACTTTTTATTTTATAAGATTTGGGTTTTTTTTTTTACTATTTGCAATATATAGGTAAATTTGCCTTACTTAAGTCCTATTAATGATGGGACTTTATTAAAAACAAGTTTTATTATTAGAGTCTTCTAAGTCTAAAATGAAATTAAAATAGAAAGCAAAATGATGATGTTAGCTAATAACAAATAACAGAAATTAAGAAGAAATTAAATCTGAACCATTCAAATTCATATTTAAATGGTACAAATATGATGCCTTAAATGAAATTGTTCTTGTATATATTGAGAATTGGAGGAAGTATTAAATTTTTTATGCAATCCTTGACTAATAACTACCATTCTCTTTAGTATTTATACATTTTTAAAAAATGCATTTGAATGAGAGATAAAGATAAAAATAATTACCATGATAATTTTGTAATAATTTCTCATGAATAAATTGGAAAATTTGCCTTCTGATGATATTCTTCTAATACTACACCATCTTTATGTCTCGGATCTCTGTTTATTTGGTTGTGAAGAAGAGGAATCTTTACTACATATTTTTTTTGTTAACTGCCCTTTTTCTCCGGTTGTTTGTTTTGGGATATTGTCTGTCAAAATTTCTTATGGTTTCTTTGATAATTTGAGATCTTGGATTAAGATCACTTTGAACAACCCCTGTCAAGGTAGTCACTTGAAATTACTCATCAGATTATATGTCTACTCAACATGATCTGAAATAATTCCTTTCATGCTTAACTGGGAAAAAAAACGAGGAAAAGGCATAAACCAATGTTCTCGTAGTTAACAAGCTTACCTTTACTTTCCCTTTATAAAACTAAGCCAGAAAGATTTATGACGGCCAACTGTGTAAAACGGGAAATAGAAGAAAATGAAATAGAAGTGGTGGCTACAGGGAACACATCAACTTGCCCATAAAAGGAAAAGGCGCATATATCAATTTTCTTTGAAATGCCATTAACGTGGGAACCACCAAAGCTGAGAAGATAAAAGGAGGACAAGCTAGAAGCCTACAATATTCAAGAAATCTCTTACAATCTTCCAGGTAGGGTTCCATGTTTTCATGAGCTCCAGCTTAACTCTTCTTCTTTTTGAAAATACTTTATCAATTGTTTTCTTATTTGCCCCAGTAACTTGGTAGTTCGAGGTTCTTGGCCAAAAACATTATTTTTTTTTTCTGGCTTTCCATTTTTCACATCCTTAAAGACGGATGAATTTCCCTTCACCCAATTTGGTCGCGGAGTTTGAAATTCTCATATAGTTCTACATATCTTTCCTTTGGAATTGTTTTTAATTATTTCTTCTTTCAAGATCACTAATCTTTCTAGTTTAATATATTTAACAGCAAAAGCATTATCCTTTTCTCTCTTCTCCCCCGATTTTCATATTCGATATGTCGGTTCTTGGAGGGATTCTCTCTCGTGTGAAACCCACTGGATTTACTGTCTGTATAGCCTCTCTATTGTTCAGTTCAAGTACAGTTTTCCACCCAATTCAACTTTGCCGTGTTCGTGCGTGTTGGATTTTTCACTTTATAATTTACCGTATATAATAACCTCGCATTACTGATGATTCTGAGAAGGAGAAGGGAAATGACGAGAAGGAAGATACAGATAAAGAAAATTGACAGTATGACAGCAAGACAAGTGACTTTCTTAAGGAGAAGGAAAGGTCTCTTCAAGAAGGCACAGAACTCTCGACTCTTTGTGATGCTGAGATTGCCCTCTTAGTCTTCTCTTCTACTGGCAAGCTCTTTGATTATGCTAGCTCAAGGTTCTTATATATCATATTATCAGTCTCAATTTCTCATACATACATACATACATAAACAGGCATTTCTATAGGTGTGAGAGAGAGAGAGAGAGAGAGATTTACATGATATCACAGTGGTCGATTCAAGAATGAAATATGAAACTACACAAGTGCACAGCTCATGATCATTAACTATCTATATTTAAACTCATATTATCTCATTCTCTGTAGTCTATTAAACTAGCTAGCCAGCTTGGCAGTTGATAAACACTAGTTGGAATCTACACAATTTACTTTTAGTAATTTTATATTATATAAAATAAATATGTAAAGAGAATTTTTTCTCAAAATATAATACTACTCAAGTTTTTATTATAAGTTACTTATAACTTATTCTTACATACTAAAAACTGCATTTATGGATAAAATTTTTCAAACACACTCTCATTAAAATTTTCTATTTCTCTTTATCTAGAAATCATTCTTACCTGTTATCTCTCTTTTCTCTTTTTTCAAAAAAAAATTAAATAAGAGCTCACAAAATTAGAAAATAATCGTTAAATACCCTACAAATTACTGATGTTTTTGACAAAAAAATTTCTTCATGAGGAGTAGAGTGGTAGCTTTTTTTTTTTTTTTTTTAGTGAATTAGTGATCCCAAACTCGTGGCACTAAATGGCGAATGCGCGTGCCCATGTATAAAGCTGCAATTGATGCAATCAATTTACCCACCGCACGAGTTTCTTCTTTTTTCCCTTTTTTTTTTTTTTAATTTAGGGAAGCCTGTCTCCTCCTTAATAATTTCCTGCTCACCAAGACTCTATCTTTCATCCTTTCTTCAGGCATCACATTTCAGAATATTCTTGCAGGTAACAACACTTCGCTCTCCTTCTCAAGAAGAAACCTCGCCTTCTCTTTGTATTTCTCACTTAGATCTGCACTTATCCTTCCTAATCTATCCTATCCAAGCCTCAAACTCTTTTTATCTTGTCTTTCCACCTACACGCAATCCAAGCTCTCTTCATTTTATGCTTGTCTTTTTCGTTTAACACGCAGATAATATTCTTCTGCGTAATTAATTTTTGTATGAGACTGGATTAAATCTTTAGATTTCCCTAATTCTTTCTCTTTGATTTAACTTGGTTTTAGTTTGAAGGAGAGATTGGCTGAAATGACGAGAAGGAAGATAGCAATAAAGAAGATCGAGAACGTAGCTGCGAGGCAGGTGGCTTTCTCAAAGAGAAGGAAAGGTCTATTCAAGAAGGCTCTGGAGCTGTCAACTCTCTGTGATGCTGAGATTGCTCTCTTAGTATTTTCAGCTTCGGGCAAACTCTTTGATTATGCCAGTACAAGGTATCTTTTCTCTCTGTATATAATGTATATGTGTGTTCTATCGCTAGGAATCAGAATAATCTGAATTTTAATCACGTCTGGGATTTTCGTTTTTGTTTAGAGGGAAAGAAATCCTGATCTTTATTTGTTGATAAAGAAGCTGTGATAGCCTATGCTTTTATTCATCTCATTCGTGCTCTCTTCTAAATTTGTCTATATAATCTCCTTCAGTTTTGATAGAGTGGGATTTCACATGAAATGGCTCTAAAAAGCACAATAACTCAACCTAGAATCTAGATTATTAGCATACCAAGTTTGACCCCATAATTCATTTGTCTATTCTTTTTGAAGTGTCAGCATTTATGTATCTCATCTGTTTGATCATCACTTACCATGTTCATGTTTTGGTGAAAATTACCTTCTGTTATGCCAGTACAAGGTACCTTCTCTCTCTCTCTCTCTCTCTCTAATTGAAATAATTTAGATTCAAGTTGCTTCCACAAAGTACTTCTCTTGCTGTAAGAGGAAAGCTTGAACACGATGTGCTGACCAAAAAGTTGTGATAGAGTCCTTTTGTGTGCTTTTATGTATGTGTGTATCTGAGAATTAATCATGTGGGTATAATTGGAAATAATGAGTAATCTCATCATAACTGTGTTTTGCTTATACCTTTAACTGTTTACTACGATGTCTTGAGGTTGCTGCTAAAATAGTTTGAACACTGAAATCTTGATAGTCTTGGAAGAGAGACCAAGGAATTTGTTCAACGTTCATGTCCATAATATGTACAATAATCAACGTTTAAAACTTAAAATAGTACAAAATAGTGGTTTGAAAATAACGAAAACGACACATGTATGGAGGAATATTAGATTTCATGAAGCTGCTTCGGTTCCGGAGGCTTTTGTTAATGTCAAGATGCTATTTTCCTTCTGTAAAAAAAATATGATCCTTGCCATAACAATCAATATAGTTATATCAATTATATAAAATCTACAAGAAACTACGCTATTCACAAGTCAAGAATAATGTATTCGTCTTTGATTTCTTAAAAAAAAAAAAAAAAGGCCCACAATACGCTGTTCAAGCAGTACAGCATGTCCTCTCTTCATCTCTAGGGAGATATAGTCTGTACGTGAGATAGTTTTTATCTCAACATTTTAATTCTATTTTTATTCAAAATCACTTTCAATGGTGTTGGAAAATTGTATATATTTTTTTACCTTGTTTCTTTCAAAATAAAAAATGTAAAAGAAGATTTAAATCTTCTAGTTTAATTTAAATGGTCTAGAGAAGTACAAATACGGCATATTTTAAAGAGGTAGGGATGTTTTCTTTTTTAGGTCAATAGAGAACATCCCAAATTAAATTTTAGTTCATAATTTTTTTGTGTGTTTTTTATTGATTAATTAGGTGGATTAAAACAGTTTAAAGAGGATTATGAGAACATGCTACTGGAACAGTCAGGTCACTTTTGCTTTGAAGATACTAAAAAGTTTGTAAGGCTATCAACTTATAACAGATTGCTGTTGACGTTTTCCTTGTTGTCTTCATGTTTTGATATCCATTAATGGCAATATTTAAATGTTATAATTTTGAATAAGTCTATCTGGAGTTAAGATTCGGTTAATTAAACAGATGCTATTATATTACACATTATTGTCACATATCTATATATCTCTAAATAAAACACGCATCTGTAATGTTTGGCCATAGAAGCCACTAAGAATAAATTCATTGGTGTATATATACATGACTGATTGAATACACAAGCAAATTTAATGCTGTATTTAAATTCACTTATTTTAACCATGACTTCCATTGTGCCCCTCCCCCCAGCAAAAGTATGACTTCCGTTAAAATTTAAATTCGATAAATAATTTTAATTCATCAAATGATAATTTATGCTATATAATTCGTTAGAAATAGTTTTAAAGTATGACTTCCATTTTAATTTTCAATGTTTTTGTTGTTTTAAGCACGAGGCAAGTAATTGAAAGGAGAAACCTATACTCAGATGTGAACCTTGTGAAGTCATACCAGCTATCTCAAGAGCTACAGGTATAATTTTTCTTCTGCTTTCTACCCCCTCATCTATTGCTGTTTTGATTCATCTTTCTTTTCCCCATCTCTGTCTGTGTGTCTGTACATAAAAAATCTTACAAAAATATTTTTGGTTATAAGACATTTTGATCGTTTCAATGAGCATTAAATATTATTCTCATATATGCCCATATTTAACAAGGATAGTGAGAGAGAATAAAAATTAATATGATATTGAAACTTAGTGTGATTAATAAGGATAATATTAGAAATCACTTAAATTTTATGACAAATTTAATGCTTTTAACTATTTTTATTAGTAGTTGCAAATTAGTTAGAAACGTCTTATAATATGAATATGAGGGAGTACAATACGCTTCCCTCACCCTAAATATATGAGTTAAGTAACTAATTTACATATATTAAGAAAATTAAATTAGTTATTTGTTAAAAAATGTGTGTTGGTTATCCTGAAATATCCCCTCTAGTCACTGGCATTGGAAACTACACTCATTGATGAAAACTCCTTTTATTTGTGCAATTAGGATTGCCTATAAAAAATAGAGATAATTTCAAGAAAAATTATAAATTTGGAATACAAAGTGAACTGAGGTCTACTTCAATTAGAACCAAACGAAACCTCTTAACTAATATTTAAAAGCGGAGGGTATATTATATTACTGCTATAATTATTCAACAGTAACTTCTTTTTTAATTCAAGGATATGATGGACTATATACATACCTAATATGAAAATGCTTGGAGTATATTAAAATTTTTGTTATTGAATGTGGAAAGCATATGGCAATTGGACAGGTTGAAGGTGAATATTTTAAGCTAAACAAGGAAGTAAAAGAGAAGACTCTTGAAATAAGGTATTACTATTACCATTATTAAATGGTGCTAAAGATTTTATAATGGGGGATCTACAATGTGTTTATTATAGCTTCAAATATGTTGCTCTACTCTAATAATAGACAACTCAACGGAGAAGATCTGCAAGGGCTATCTGTAAAAGATCTGAGGAAGCTAGAAGATTTACTTAGCACAAGCTTGCATCGCATTTCAAAAGCAAAGGTTTGCCTTTTCCTTTCATGACAGTATTACAAAAATTGAAATATTTTATGATTGTTTTATCCCTTAAATTACATTTATCAACTGTCGATTAAACAATGGCTTATTTGAGAAAAAGGAAAAATTAACAAAAAAAATATCTGTTGAATTTCAAAATGATAGATAAGTGATTTTGACCGATTTTGGCTTATTAAAATCATTACAAGAGTAGTCTAAACCATTACAAGAATAGTCACCATGGCTTATTTGTCTTTTTGAAATTCAACATGTTTTTTTTTTGTCGTTTTCCCTTTGAAATAACTGTCTAATATGCAGAGGCTATTTGATTGTTATTCATCTTGTTTAGCTCAAAATATTCGATTTATCCCTTAAAAAGTAGGAAGTGAATGACATAAAAATTAGATAAGGTTAAGATCTCCCTATTCTTTTATCATTAGAAAGGTCAACTAAAGTTTCTTTATAAAGCTACCTTTTTGTTCTTTGTATTTTGGCTACCATAAGGCTACTTTTTTTTTTTTTTTTTAAAGGGGGCTACCATAAGGCTATCGCAATCCATGGTTCCAGCGAAGAATGTTAGCAATGTTCTAAAATTCTTTCCCCTTTTGTGAAGATAATTTTAAATCACAGATTAAAAATCAACTATATCCTCATAATAAAATGCATATATTTAAACATTTTCTCTTGTATTGTGTTTCAACTTTGCCTCATGCTACAGGGATCGAAGTAACCTAAATAAATTCTAGTTTTAATGCACTACATGCCCTTTAGTTATAAGAAATGATTTTTCTTGTTTGATGCTCATTTGACCCTTCAACTGTGCAAGATGCAAATTAACGAGTGCTCACAATGACCGATTTAAGGCACTAACTAACCTTATCTGCATTCCTTTTATAATTGATAATAAACAGTCTCGTAATCCTCATATCCTATAGGAAAATCATTCATAGTCCTGTCAAATCTCTGTTCATAAATCATTTTATATATTTATAACTATAAGTTACCGAATCTGCCAAATATAACTTAGGTTGACCGTTATAACTCCAATAAGAGAAACCTGATAAATCTGACGCAATTATGGGATGCATTTCATCCCTTAATTATTCCAAATGTAACTGAATCATAATTGAATTAAATTGAATTAGATCCTCATTATTCTTCTCAAAACTCATTGACAACTTGCCTGTCATTGTATGTTCCGCTAACTTCACCAAGCATGGGTTGACAAGAGGGGATGATATTTTGGGGGAAATCCCAATAGGAAGGGAATACACATATATAATAACATCAAATGAATCACCATATAAAAGATGACATACATATTAATTAGATGATATCATAAACACCTAGAATTCATTATTAAAGAACCACTGCACTCTCCCCCTTACCTAGCCTGCTTATTATGCCAAAAAGACATCTCTTAGCCACAAGGCTTTCTTACTATACAGGCTCTGCCTTCGAGTTTCTTTGCCACAAGGGTATAATTCTTGCCAAAGAGGCAATATTTAACTATTCAAGGCTCTAACTTTGAGTACAGATCTACTTATGACATAAAACTGCATAAAATAAACTAGGCACTCAAACAAGACAGACATATAAGAAGAGCAGTATTGCTATCTTGTGCAGAATTGACAATATCAAGGGTATTGGGAAGCCTCACAAGTGTAGCGTGATTTACAAGTTTAATGAGCTCTTTTTTCTAATATACTGTCTTTTGGGATTTAGCTCTCCTTTTGGGCTTTTACTCATAAGAGGTTTCCGTACTATTTGTTTTACAACAACAAGCGCTCCAAATAAAGATTGTATCAATAATCTCACAAGCCTACTCAAAATCCTGTCTAGTTTCATGTCTTTTGTCCTGCCTAACATCTTAGTACACCAGGGCTTCTCAAGAAAGAAATTCTTGAAGTTATTGATGCAAAATCCAAAGTCTTGAAATCTTTAATTTTAGAAGAAGGAACTTACATTAAAATTGATGGGAGACTCGCCTCTTGTCTATTTGATATCTTTTATCCTAATCATAACTCCCTATCTCAACAAGTTGCCTTAAATTTTGAATTTTCCATATATGGAGGGATTAGATCTTGTAGAATTAGAGGAGGGAAGTTTAGGTTAGTGATGTAGATAACTTTCTCAATTTTCATTTTGCTTTTTCCTTCCCTGCCTCTTAGTAAAGCTATCGTTGCCTTTTTTTGGCCGAGCGGCAAAAGAAAATTGGGGTTTATAATGTGTAGGATTTACTCCATAAAAGGATTAATATTTTAAAAGATTTTTTTTATGAAGGGGTAAATATATCAAAATACATCTTTTATAGAAAGATATGGTTTAATCTCTTGTAAATCTCATACTTTCCCTTGTTGTACATTCTAATGTTGAGGGGACTGTTTTGTACCATAATTGTGAAGTTATATATTTCTGCCACGACTTCTCCTTCACTATACATAATTAGGATAAAACCTCAAAACTATATAATTCTCTACAAGTTGGTCCCTACAAATTTTCATGTATGTCCCTGTTAAATTATCGGATGTCACAATTTCTTCTAACTCATCATTTGAAAAGCAGAATTTGAATTAAATTGATAACAGGTAACTGCAACTAAGAAACCAAAAATGAAACAACTCTCACAATTTCAGATTGAGGAGTTGGAGAAGTCTTCTCAAAATTCATACCTTGTTGTCAGTATCCCTTGAAAACAAATCGAGCTTTATACTCTTAAATGCTTCCATTAGTAAGGTCCGGGCCAAAAAAAGCTATTTTTTAACATTTTGAAATAAAAAATATATAAGCCATAATGGTAATGTTCTTGTTCCAAAACCACATTCCCTATAATGGTAATCCGTTTTAGTTAATATGAAGTTTTAGTGGCTATTAACGTCTCTTGATTCAGGTATACTCCTCTCGTAAAGTGTTAAACATGCCATTCCCAGCATAATTACTCAAGAGGCAATAAAATCCAAAGCTACTCTTTAATGATTATACAGGGTCCGTTAGGTATATGTTTATCCTAATGGCAAATTAGAACACATCTAATCCCACTTTCCCAATCTATATCCATAATCAAGATTCCCTTTGTCAAGGAAAACCCTAATCCTCCTGATTCATAATTAATATTGGCCAAGCATCAACTAAACAAATAAATGCATGTTTGAACAAACAAAATTAACATTAAGCACAAATAATTGATTCAAACATGCTGTGATCCAGTTCATAATAACTACTCTATGTTAATAGAACATTAGCCATGTTAAATGAAAGAACAAGAGGAGTATGATAGAGTAGAGCACAAGAGGAATGAAGGAGAGCTTAGGAGAAAGAAGTCAAGGACACTGCGTTGTCAGCAGAGGAATGGGGAAGGATAAAATCACAAACAATTTACACCGCATCAAATCTAGATGGAGAACAACCAAGCTAAGTGAGACTTTGAGAGTTGAAGGAAGAGTGAAGAATTGAAGCTTGAGAATGAGATCTGGGGGCAGTTGGTGTGAGGATGGAGGGACTGAAGCTCTCTTGGTCTCTAGTAGTTTAAAAATTAAAAAACATATATTTAAGGGATGGCCTTTTAATTATTTGACCCAAATGGGCCCAACGTCTAACCCATTTACTCATTTTGGGACCTAATTTTTAAGCCTGCTGGTCCTCAATCTAAAAGGGTTTAAATAGGTTGGGCTCTAACAGCTCTACCCCTGGGGACCTTATGACATTTTTTGCCTTCATGAACAGCTAACTCCCATGCATGTCGAGTTTTTTGAATGGCTTGAATCTCCTCTATCGTAGCACTTTGCCGCTCAAATTTTTCTATTGCTTCTAAAGAAGTTGGGTGTGGGGATTCGAGACATACACAGAAAAACTACAAAATGCATAAATTTACTTTTAGTAAGCGCTTGAATTTTTTGGTGGTATTTCACTAGAGGATCTTGATGCTGAAGAACTTGTTGATCTTTGGTACTTCTTTCACTAGGTGAGGTGAATGAGAAAGAATATGGACTTGTCAATGCAGGGTGGTGTTGCTTGTCTATTGTCAAACTCTAGTCTATAGGGATTCAAATAAGAATGCCTCCCTTGTTAATATTCCATTCCCAACTAGCCTCTTCATTGGATAGAATATTCCTGCCAACTATTACGTTAACACTTACAAGATTATACAGATGACATGCTTTGGTCTGACTACTATAGCCAATTTAAACTTTAGTTCTTTTTTTCATCAATTGAGGAATGAAATTTAACCTACACATATGCTAGACAACTAAGAATTGTAAGTGGCTTACCTGAGGCTTCTTGCTTTTCCGAGCTTCATATGGGGTTTGATTCAAAAAAGCATTTTTTGGAGAGATAATATGCAATGTTATTTACCTTGTTATATAAATTAGAATTTATTGATACTGTTTGCTGTTCACTATAACGTTGCCTCTTCTTTTTTCATTTGTTTCTATACTATTTAGCAATAGTAAACAGCTATGATGCGCTTGTAAGTTCTATCTGTTTTTTGATTCCATGGCATGGGTAAAAAGCAGCTTGCAAGATTTATAACCGATAGAAACTAATTCCATGTGTTTCAGGTTAAAGTATTTGAGCAGGAGATCAATATTCTAAAGAAAAAGGTTAGCGTTATATTTGTTTATCAAAAGCATTCTATGCATTATATTCAGTCTTTTCCTCTCTGTTATAATGAGAAGGTATTGATCAGAATTAATTCCTTCTAACTTAACCTTTTATTTTAGTAATTAATGCTGCCTTTGGAATTCTGAAGTTAGTAAAGACAAGGAATGAAGAAAATGGTAATTATTTTTATCTTCAAATTTTGTAATGACAGATAAATATAAACAAGCATTTTCTTAAAAAGTGACCATTAAAAAGGAATGGAGAGAGTAATTTCCATAACCCTTCAAATAAGCCCATATTTAATAGAGATTACAAAAAACCACAAACGACATGCCTCAAATTAAAGACACGTAAATTCAACTTACATAAACTCATATAGAACTAAAGCACATGTTTTTTATTAAATTTTAAACACATAACTTTATCAAAAAGTCTATACTTACCAATGTCAACAACTTAAATGCACACAAAACTGAACTTAGCACATCTGATTAAGTTTAACCATAAACTTGAGTTTATAATTCCAGTATTTCATGTCTTGTGGTAATATAATATGCTATGCAGTAGTGTCTAAGGCACTTCCTCCATCCCATATTTTAGTTATAGTAACATGTGACATTAATAAAATATTTGTTAACATTTGTAGTACGTTGTGAGTCTTCATTCGTGTCTCTTGTTTGTTTTAATGATGCGTTTAATTTTGATGTCAATAAAGGAAGACGAACTCAAGGAAGAAAACCAGAGGCTAACGAAGGTTGTCAGATTCTTGTCACTAATTCTCTTGTCAATTAATTTCTCATTAATGTGTCTTCATAGTGATAATACAACGTCCCATTTACCATGTTTTTAAACTTAATGCCAATCCAGTTAATCAAATCCACGGAAGAAAACCAGGTAATTAACAGGTTTCAGATTCCCATGGTCTTTGCTTTTGTCAGTACTTATCTGGGAATTTTATCGAACTGGGAAATGAAATAATGTGTTGATAGGCCCAATGGCTTGAGGATGAACAATATCAGCCATCAGACACAGTCTCCCGCAACAAGGCAAGTTGCTATAAACGCCACTGATGAGAGAGCTGTGTTTTATCTCCGGTTACTGTAGGTTAGTTATTTTGCTCCCTCAAAAGTATTTGGTCCTAAATATGGAAGTTAGTTAAGAGCATTGTTTAGGTTTCAACTGTAAGTCCTAAATCCATTTTATTTACAAATTTATAATTCTTTTTCAAACAATCATGTTGGTTACAATACTAAAGGGCTTTTAAAAAAAAAAATCCATGCAGGTAATTTTCAATTCAAATGAATGAATGTGGTGTTTTAGGTAAACTACCACATTTATTACAGATAACAAACCCCATTAATCATTCTCAATAACTGTAAATTAATTATCTGGCACTTATATTTAAGATGAGATTTATTAGATTTTGCTTTGAATGGGCCTAGTGCTCTAAATAAGCTTCACTTTTTACAACTTGTTAGTACTGCAACTTCCTACACTTGTGTGTCTGTGTACATTTGATATGATATTGTTGACCCCATTAATGTAGTTGTCCATGACGATGAAGTTTTTAATGGTAAGTCCCTGTGGCTTACATGAATGATTTGCAATCCATGTGGGTGAGTTTAATTAGTCTAAAACTCTAGGCAATTAAGGTTATCAAGTTTCATTAATCGTTATTTTATTTACTGAATTGCAGGTTACTCTTTCCCTGAATGAAATTAAAGCTTCTGAAGGAAGAAGCGCAGTAGATCTTTTTTTTTTGGAAGTTTTGTGAAAACCGTTCTTGACTGAAAAGCACAATGCTAGATTTTAAATTTATGAATAGTGGTTGTACAATAATGCAAATGTATAGCTGTGTAGTTGTTTCAACTTAGCTGTTCCTGGGCTGCAGTGAAGTTTTTTATTATTATTCATGAAGAAAATAAAAATAGTAGTAATCCATCCGATCAACTAATGTTCATTATTACTGTATAATTTTACTGCTCTTGGCAATATATAATACGGGGAATTGTTATGAGGTTTTAAATAAGGAATATAATTATTAAAAAGTCCCAGTAATAACAAAGCTGCAAAGACAAGTTTTAAGGATTTATTAGTAATTTTTTTTAAGACTTTATTGTAATTCTCCCCATATAATAGACAAGTGTTCAATCCCACTTGAAAAGTAAAAACATATATGAAGAACAATTATTTTCACATTATATCACCATTAATCGAACACATATATTAGCTTTATATACAATGCCTTTATATACTATAATTTTTATAAATAGCATGTATATGATATTACTAAAATTTAGTGCTAGTTTTATATATAATAATTAATTAAAAATCATATATTATAATTCACTTTTTTGACAAAAATATATATATTATAATTCATTTTTAGGTTCTCTTGTTTCAATTTATTCAACATAGTAAACATATCATTAGCCAGTTTTAGTGCCTTCCTTTTTTGGTTTGGTTTATACAATTCAAACACCACACACACACACCCCACTATATCAACACTCAACTCAAACTCAAAACTTTATCTAAAGGTGACATTATTACCACTAAGGCAGTTAGCCATTGTTTTGAGTCATTCCTTAAAGCCACTAATTATTAAATATTAGGATGCATATCTAGCCCGTATTCTTTATTAAAAAAAATAATTATACAACAATTGTTTTTACATTTTTGCTAGATTACTTTTCCTGATTACTAAGTAATAGGTTACATAGGGTATAATTTATAAATAGTAAAATTGGCCAAAATATTTAATCAAGTGATTGTGAGTTTAGATGTCAACCCTGTACATGTAGTGACATAATTGGGAACAGTCTATCGTTTGCCTTTAGTACTCAAAGTAAATTAAAAGAACACTCCAATGAAGCATCAATACTTCAAATGGTTTGATGTATTGGTATTGTATTATATCATATAATCATACACAACAATACTTTATACTATCTCCAGTCTTTAATATAAAAGTTAGTTGGAGATTTAATTTAATTTTAAATATAAGACATAAATCCACCTCATCTCACATATCTGTCCTTTTTTTTTTCAAAGTATTCGTTATAATGATTGCATGCGTTAAAGAATTTATATTAAATGATAGTTCTAATACACATGATTAATAATGATATTATAGGAAAAACAACACTTATTTATTCTAAATAATTAATTTATATTGATATTGAAATACTTTTTTAAGACATTTTTATCGGATACTCCTAGAATCTTAGTGGATACTTTAAGACATTTTTATACAGAAATTAAATTCTGTTAAAGATTATGATGTTAAAGCTTTTCATTTTATAGAGGAGAGAAAAGAATAAGCGGAAATACATGGAATTAGCTGGCAAAAAAGGGAAATGCGCGGAATTACTTTGATGGCGCTAGAAAATTTTAGAATACTATTATCTTATCTTTGCTTGCATATGACGTCAAGCAAGGGAAGATGGGTTTAAAATCACTTAAAAGCACATTTCATATAACAAAACTTTTCTCATATATTTATCCTGTATTTCTCAAGTCACAATAATAGAAGAGCTTGATAACTAACTAACAAATATCAAGAAAATTAGTTAAGTTTATTATTTATAATAAATGCGTCTTGATTTTTTTAAACTATCATTTTTAATAATGTACTTCTCTGGTTCTAAATATAAGACCCATTTTGTATTGTAAATTACACTAAGAAATAGGTCTTATATTTATGACTGGAGGAGTATATTGGAATTACCTTTTGATAGGAACTCCTTAAGAATATTTTGGGGGGAAATTATAAATTTGAGAAATAAAATGAATTAAGATTTTATATTTACGATCAAATTTAAGCTCCCAACTTGTTCTTATATTAAATTATGTATTTTTTGGTATTCAATAGTAACAAAGGACTATATTCTAGTCTACATTTGGTTGAATTCCAACTATATTTTTTGTTTGCTTTATAAATTTTTTCATGAATATATAAACACATCCTAGAAGCATCATATCTTATACTCTTTAAGAAATGAAAATGTCGACGTATTGGATATACATACATACATACATACTCTATATTTATATGTATATCACTGTATATACATCTGATTCATATATGGCATTTGTGTATCAGAAGTAAATATACACCTTGATTGTGTCACCCCAAAAAAGGAAGAAAAATTAGTTTAATGTTATACATAGGGATTTTGATGATAACCTCTTATAGAGGAATTCTTGGGTACACCTGGAGCACCACCTCGTTTATGCTCTGACCAATCAGAATGTAACAAGTCACCACATTTTAATCTTATTAGGTGGCTGCCAGGTCATCTCTATTTCTTAAGCAATTAAGATTTTAATTAAAATATAATTATAAGTTAAACTCGGGGCTTTCAACTGGCATCAGAAAATTCCCATAGAAGAACCCTAATCTCTACATTCAATGATGATTGCCCTCTTCCTGGTGACTTGAGACGAAGCTTGAGCTCTTCCTGGTGCGTAAGTTAATCTGTGCCTTCCTTTTTCTCTTATTTTTGATCGAACAAGAGGCTATTTATCCTCATCTTCCTCTTCGTGGTGATTGTCTTATAAATAGAGACGAAGTTTGAGCTTTGAAGGCTGAAGGTCTCTTGACGATCCTCTTCTGATCGTGTTTTGCTTCGATTTGTCGCTGGTAAGCTGTGATTTATGGTTACAAATAAGTAATGAAATCATTTTTTGAAGCCCAAAACCCTAACTTAAAATCAATTTTTGGAGCTTTTAAGAACACTTTTACGGTCCCTGTGTCTTCAAATCAAAAGTCTGAACCTTGAAACTATTTTAGAATTCCTACCTAGAGCGTAGCAATCACCAGAGCCTTTGTCGATAAAAATCATTTCACTGTGATTCTTGAGGTTTCACTAAGATGAGATGTTTGTTATTTGAGTTAATTGATAATGAATGGAGGTACAATAAGACAAATCCTACATATCATCAACACATTTGATTCAGTTTATTTATTATTTTTCCAAGTATTTGTATTTTGCCAGTCCAAAATGCTATTGAATATTTGTGGATTACTGGGGCCTTGAACCAATATCATTGTTTATATCTTCTACAAGGCATCTTCATGGATGGTGAGTTTAACTATATTTGTAATTTCGGCTACTTTGTTTTGTTTATGTTAAATCATTTTACTTATGTTTGCAATAATTTCTATTCAACCTGCACACATAGATTGTTTTTCCTCTTGTACTTCAAGCACAAAAATTCCGCTGGCTTTTGAAAATACGACGTGGGTTGTTCCAAAATATTATATGATGTGGTTGTCAAGACTGGTGATAATTTTTTTCGGAAATTTTGTGATGTTTATTCTGTTTCTGACTCTTTGCAGAATTTGTAGGCCTAAATTCCCTTTGAGTGAGTTGTCTATGTAGATCATAAAGAAACTTACCTAGCTAGTGTCTGTATGGCTTTCTGGCTTGACAGCCTTTGCTTTTTCATTGTAATTAACAATCAGTGTTAAACCTTCTTTTGGTCACCTCATCAAAATGTGGCATCGTCTTTATGGTTTCGTGTAGGTATGAAACTTCAAGGGAGGAGAATTATATGCATCATGCCAAAAGAGGAGGACGTGGCCTTGCTGAAATCTTTCATTACGGAAAGGCATAATGGCTAACGATGTGATTTTGACGTGGAAAGCTTTTGAGAATTGAAGGGGATAATGACTTTAGTTTGACTTCGATGAGTTTGGTGTTGACTAGTTAGTTCGTTGGTATAGGTTGCCGCTATTTAGTATATGTA